TATTCTAGACAGGGATTCGATGACTCCGCTTCAAAGCTTAATCGATGATTGTAATTACCGTACACTGTCAGCATAGCTCGACGAGAACGCCCGATACAGTTAGTCTGAGCGGGTCTGCCGCAAGGTTTCTCTCCGTGGTCCCACTTTTCTACTTAGCCTTGGTGGGTCCCACATGGTACGTACACCGTCCGTATTGTATGCTGTATCAGAAAAAGGAAAGTATTTTACCGGGGATTATGGAGGGGAGGCCTTCGGTTAGTGGATTAGTGCAGATCCACGGATGATTTTCTCTTTTTTATTTTAGTCTGTTATTTTCTTTTTATTATTATTATTTTCTTTTTTTTTTTTTTTACGTATGCTGTACTGTACAGCCCTGGGCTTACCTGTCAGAAAAAATGAATAAAAACCGCATCAACGGCCAATACCTCGTTTAGGGTTAGCGCAAGTTCTGGCAATTGTTGCCGCACGATCCCATTTTTGTTTGTAGTGTTTGGAGCCCGAAGCGGGATCGAAGTCGCTTGTCAATGCCCAGTTGAGTGTCTAACTTTATAACCCTCCATGTACCGAAACTCAACTTGCTTCTAACTCATAATAAGAAAAAAAATTATAAAACAAAAAAACATACCTATACGAAGGCTCATGCGGAGGAAAATTACTCCTGATTTTTTTTTTTTTTCTTTTTTTCTTTTTTTTTTTTTCTTCTCCTGCTCCTGACAAGCGGGGGATCGATCCAGAGTGGGCTGTGTTGGCCCTGATGGGAAATGTCTCCGTGCGCTGAGATAGTAGCCCAGAGCCTTGGTCGACCCCGGAAGACTTCTGCTTGGCCAGTTGCCTGGGATAAGAAAAAGAAAGAAAGCAAAGTGATGCATCGTGCATCTTGCGCATAAGCGAGATTCCAATCCTTACTGACTGCTTTTACGAAGTACGGCGATTCTCGCTGCGGTCATGGATCGCCCGTGCAGCAACAGGTCGGATGACTGGTCATCGGATGTCTGCTTCTTCTTGCTGTTTACTTTGCATTTGATCTTCTGGTCTTGATAGTTGCATACAGCTGGGCAGCAGTAGGATACGAGTTCAACTGACGAATCCCGTAGCACCATCCCGTACTCTGAATGAACACGGGAGAACAGGGGGATCTACCACGACGAATCGATAGCCCCGGTTGATAACCCAAAATTTTCCAGATTAACGACGGCTTCAATAAAATAAATTTAACTGTTCCTGAGCATTAAACCTCGGCCGACAAGAGTCAAGTGTGGACGGGCTAAGATCTATCTGGCCAAAAAGGGTTATGGAGACGACTTCTTGAGGATCATCCGGTTTATCCTGGGTGAATGGTTCTGGAACTGATCTGTGCGGGACGCGTACACTGTACCCTATTCCGAACCTGTACTCGGTACAGACTACAGCGGACAACTCAAGACGTAGACTCAATTTTTGTTTACTTTTGTCGTCTGCTTCACATACATTATTATTGAGTTGTCTTCGTGATCCAAAAATTGAAGGATGTGACTCGGAGGAACATACATAGTACATACAGGCTGATTTCCTTTTCAGCGGATCGTTCCGCTGACCCGGTTTCCCGATCGGGTAACCAGCCCCATGAGCCTCCCCAACACAATGCTACTGTCTCCATACAGATATACACACACACAATAGTAGTAATAAGTAATGCAGTCGCAGGATCTGTTTGGAAACACAAACACAAACGCCCAAAGTACTTCATACACGATACCGAACACTAGTGAGTCACGGTCGGTCGCCAACACATCTCCTGTCGGATTTTCCGTTCAGGGACAGGGCAGCAGGGCGACGGAGAGTGTCCGGAGATCTACAGATCCTACAGCAGAGTTACCACAGACTACAGAAATAGGAGTCGCACAGTATTGAAATTGCACGGTAGCATCACCTCGGTCGTACACCGTCACAAAGCCTCGTGGAAAGTCTGATCTTAACCTTGTCCCTAATGCTACCGTCTCAACTGTACTCCCCGGTACAGGTATCTGTGCTTCTCTGTACATCGCCTAGCTACTGGTACTAACAAAGTACAAAATGACCGGTCTCCTATTCGTCCGACGATCCACCGACGGGGTCCACGAACGGTGCCGAAGATCCTCCCAGTGATCATCGCCCGTGACTGTGGTCTTGGTTTCTTCCAGAACATGGCCTTGGGTTCACAGGTCCATGGTTACGAGGTACCATAGTGTGGATAGGTTCCATGGGATATCTGTACCGAGTAATACTGAGCAGATGAAAACTGACTGCCTTTATGTAGCATTTAACCAGAGTTAGAGTACGTGTCTTGTATTATCTTTGGATAAATGTCTCTGTGCCTGAATACCACGGGTGACAGGCGATCGTGTCCCACCACCGAGGACATTTCCTTTCTGGGCGATGACCTGAGTTACATCCAGTCTTGAGAGTCTGCTTTTACCAGAGTACATGTAAGAAGATTGGCAATAATCTGGCCCATGTAGACTAGCAACTAAACCACGAAGATCACGACCCCATCCTACCCCTTCAAGTTGCAGAATCCTCTACTCTGTGGTGTACCTCCTTTTCCTTGTCATCACTGGGAAAACTTCGGATGAGCATACTAATCATCCCTGGACCAATAACAGGATGGTCGGAGATAAAATATGCGGCGACTATGCACATAGGCTGAATAATAGTGCACACCCTGCTATACATAGTTGTACATAGTCTCTGGTGTATCAAGCGAAGATAAGACTATTGATAGCACGGGCGCAAATGATGTGCGGGATCCGCCAACGCTTTCCAACGTTTCCAACTTACGAAATGAAACTCTATTGCTCTTGGAGCTTTCCCTTTGCGGACATCAGCCGAGCCGAGGCTGAGCGCATCATTGGCCAGTGCTTTCATTTCAACCGGCACTGGCAATTCAGCCTATTTGCCGAAGTTTGACCTGTCATGACATAACACTATGCTTGCTTTGTCATTTGTACAACTGAACATGGTGATAGTAGATAATGCTGTTGAGACTATTGGCGGCAGATGATCACATTGTTTGTTTTTAGTCTCCTTGTTTCTTTTTCTGTCTCTCCTGACAGGCCATACGTAGTGGTGTACTTGTATTACTACGGGGTGTGCCGTATATGCAGGAGAAATCAATACTAATACGGGCTGTGACACTGAATGCCCATGCATCGGCAATTATGCTTACTCTTACAAACAGGCAAGTCAGGTAAGGCAGCCAGGATGGATAATCGGAACGCGGATGTATTGATTGACAGGAGCTGGGCTCAGCCTGCTGCGACTGTTTGTTTCCATTCTTCATTTCGCGAACTCGTAAGTGTCATTAAACTGACTCGAGGTTCCGCGGCTTGGATAATGACTCCGGGATGTCTCGGGACATGCCTAGTCCCAGCTAGTGGTGTCCGGAAAGAATAAGAGGCATCGCGACTGGTGAACACCAAGTGCATAAACGGATACATACTTTTTGGGCATACAGGCAGGGTACAGACGACAGACATGCTTTGAATGTGAAACAGTCGAATTCATGGTCCTTCTCCAATACACAGTGCCAGTATATCCCTCAAAAGCAAACTTTGCTCTTTGCCCAACCTGTTTCTGACAAGACACGGCACACAAGACAATATCTTAGAGTTTGACATGGCACGACCAATGCCCGTCACGACTCAGTTGGAGTTTTCCTCTACTCTGGTGCAGTACTCGCCCGAGTACATCTAGAATAATGGACCAGCCAAGCTTCGCCTCAGCCAACTGACGTATGTCACGGAAAGTCTTTACCCTTCGAACTTCACCGCTAAGGGCAATAAACTTTTTCTCTGGGCCTTCTGCTTTAACTTTGATATACACCAGATTGCACTGTTTAGTTATCTACCACGATCTGATTGTCTGGACTTGGACTAGTTGATGGTCGAAGATCTACGTTTTCGCGTACAGATAGCTCTGCAACCTATCGGTTTGCCTTCTTTAGGCGGCACAAGGTATGTCTACATACAAGTAGCATAGCGCGGGTACTCCAAGCCAGACCGCCACGTTGACTGGTCAAGGCGCTGATCTTCATAATCGGCGGCTGGACAGGTAGTAAAACTTGCTGTGGCTGTTTGCAATGTGAACAGTGTACTGTTGAAGGAACAAGGAATCTCCCTGTTGGAGTAGTGTACGAGTACGCATACACGCTCCTACTTTTAGCGCTTCGTACTCCGGAGTAGATAGTGCCCCTAGTGTCAACATCTCGGAAGTATCATCGGTAATAGTGTGCGTTTCCGATGGAAGTCGACAATAAACCCACCCCATAGTAATCTGATATCCATAACGAATTCCACAATCCATATACTCAAGGCACCACCATTATTGTCTACATTAGTGCACCGTCTGTATCAATCAATCAACCCTGTCAACTAGGAGACTTACCCCATTAGGACTAGTTGGGAACTGCTGGCGCGGGCGTCGAACTCAGAACGGACGCCAAGGACCGCTTGCATAGCCAATGATGTTTTCGCATCCCTGTTATTTCACGTGGCAGAAGTGGGCTTTTGTGACCCGCCTGCAGCCGGTCGTTCGGGCCTTCCCGAGTTTGGCATTCAAGCCGATGCATTACAGTAATTTACTGTAATTTAGGGATGAGCATAGGTCAGGGTGTCAGAGGATTGTCTCTTAGCGATACATTCCCCGTACACGTACAGATCCGTGCATTATTGGACCGATCCACGATCCTCCTTTTTTCTTTTTTTTTTTTTTTTTTTTTTTTTTTTTCTCTTAAATTTTTT